AAAAAATAAATAAATAAAATAAAATCTTTAAAACAAAACAAAACATGACAATTGTATTTCTACATAATGGCATCAATCACAAAACAACCCTGGACCGCCTGGGTGGCTCAGTCAGTTAAGCGTCTGCCTTCGGCTCGGATCATGATCCCAGGGTCCTAGGATGGAGTCCTGGTTGGGCTCCCTGCTCAGCCTGGAGTCTGCTTCTCCCTCTCCCTCTTCCCCTCCTCCCCCCCGAGGCTCACTCTCCCTCACTTTCTCTCTCTCAAATAAATAAAGTCTTAAAAAAAAAAAAAAGGAAAACAATGCTGAAACCACCATTTAAATAGCATCCAAAAAATCAAATACCCCAAAATAAATCTAACAAAAGATGTACTGACCTCTACAGAGAAAATCATTAAAACACATTGTGAAAAGTTAAGAACTAAGTAAGTGGGTATACCCGTGAACGAGAATATCAAATATTGTAAAGATCTCATCTCTCTCCCAAAGTGATCTACAGAATCAACAAAATCCCAGCAAGGGTGTGAGGGTGCATGAAACTGACAAGCGGGTTCTAAAGTTCTATTGAAACACAAAGGTTGGAACAACTATAGCGACCCTAAAGAGTAACAAAAATGAGAGCACTCACCACGCTGGAGAGCAGGACTTAGGAGAAAGCTGTAACGACTGAGACAATGGGATCTCAGCCGGAAGACGGGCACACGGACAGTGAGTTGACTGTGAACTTAGGAGCACCTGACCTGTGACAAGGCAGCACTTTAGAGCAGTGGAGAAAGGGCACTGGGTCACCTGGACAGCCATTGGGGAAAAATCTTGTCCCCACATCACCCCCTACACAGTATCCGATTCCAAGAGGAACCGAGGCTAACCCAAGAAAGACACCATCACTTTCCGCTCTCAGACCAAGGGAGGGAGGAGGGTGAAGTCAGGACCTTTGCCCACCCCCCCAAGGCCCCTCCGCGTTGGTGGTCAGGAGGCCCCAGCAAATATGGGGAAGGCCCCCCCACACAGCCACCCTCCCCTAGCCGAGGCAGCAGCTCGGGCCCATCTTGCCTCTAAAGATGGGGCAGTAGCAAGGGCCCGGCCATCACCACGCCAGGACACTTCCCTAGCCCGCAACTGTTTGCTGAACTCTGCCCACGTGTTAGTAAACTGCCCCCTCGTTAAGCTCTCAAACCACCCGGTTCTCGAGGGCCTTCTGTTTCCTGCTGGAATCTGACTACATCAGGCTTTACCCAGAAAAGCTGAATGCATGAGTTAGAGAGATCATACGCGACCACCGAGGATTTCCAGCCGTCGCCCACCATACAGAAAGGCATGCCTGTGTCCACAAATGCCCAAAACTAGTTGAGTGGATAAAGTGGGTCAAGAAGCTTCCAGGGGAGCAGTACGCTATAACGAGGAACGAAGTAACTCAACCTTTTTAATTTCAGGGCCCTGTGACCCTCTTAGAAACCATTAAAGACTCCAAAGACATTTTGCTTTATATAACTATATATATAAACAAGTTTTTACAAATGCATATTCATTTTAAAATAACAACACAGGTTAACATAAATAACATTTCTCATGAAAAATAAAACCGTTCGTTTTCTGAAATGAAAGCGAGAAGGGTGGTGCTGTTTTATATTTTTGCAAATCTTTTTTATTATCGGGCTTAACAAAAATAGCTCAATTTTCATATCTGTTTTCACATTCAATCTGTTGTGCTATGTTGTCTTGGTTGAAGCGTATGAAGAAAATTAGCCTTACACAGATATTTAGTTGGAAAAGTGGTTTAACTGCCTTTCCAAGCAATCGTGGATCTAACCTCCTTGATGCTACACCAAAACACGACAAGTGAGAATTTCTTAAAGATCTGATGCGATGTGGCATCTGAAATCCTGCCGATGAACTTTCATACTGTTATGTACATCAAAATCCACTGGCTTATCTTGCGTGTGGAAAGAAGCTTTTGCCCATGCGTGATTTTGTAACAATGTACACATCGTCTGGAAAACACTGGCTCAATGAATTATGCAAGTCTTCCAAATGATGACATTTCACTCTATGACATTAAAAAAAAAAAAAAACAGTCATTAATGTCACCATCTCTCTCATCAGCAAGGGTTTCAAGTGTTGACAATGTTGTCACGTTCCCAGTGGTAAATATAAATTTCCCTAAATCCTAATTTTCTTTTTTTTTT